AGGGGCCTTAATAATTAGAACAGGCTCTTGGGGCCCATTATACCACAATTATAAAAAGGAACCCACAAAATAATGTAGGAAATTATTTAGGCCCCTAATGTAGGAAATTATTTAGGCCCCTACATTATTCTAGTTATGAAGGCCGCTACATTCAAGCCCACGCCGAGCCACTCAACAGAACAGAAGCGAAGCAATAAATTAGATGGCAGTCATCGGAAATGGAACGCCCCGTCATTGTTGACTCAGTGACATACTAGGCATAATGCATTGTCCATCATCTGCTTTCCTCCGTAAGTTAAGTCCCATGACGGGTCGTGTCAGTTGGAGGTGACTATTTGGAAAAAGGGAAAGTCGGAATCTCGCGTGACGGGAAAGCCGGCAAGGCGCGGTAGGCCTAAAACCTAAACCCTAAACCCTAAACCCTAAACCCTAAACATAAGGGTTCGGCCTTTCGGCTTTGGCTTGCTTGATGAGCACAAACGACCCTAAACTCTAAACCCAGAACCTGTCTTTTTAACGGTTCTGTGTTCCATCATGAACCACTGCTACATTCTGGCCATCGCTGCTGTTGACGGTATCTTCCTTTGAGAAATTTCGAGCTGAGAGTATCACAACATGGGGGACCCTAACATAGAAGCCTAAATCATAACGTCCTCCAAATTTAAAGTATACCCAAATACGGCACCCTGACATAGGGGCCTTAATCACTAATACTTGAAATGTTCTGAAAGCTCCGACTGTCTCTTGAGCCTGCACCAGCAGCGAGATTTGCGGAGCTCTGGAGGCAGTTACAGGGCAGCCGTAGTCGCCGCGGTTGAGGGTGCACTGGCCTAGGCTTACGATGTGTGCGTTTGTTTTTTGACAGTCCGCTTCAGCTAAACATCTCCCCGTTGCGGGGTTCAGGGATTACACTTTGGAGTTTAGGGTTTAGGGCTGTGGGCTCTTTCGGGTTAAGGGGTTGAGGGTCAAGGGTTGTGAAGATTACACATCGGAAAACAATCCATCTTCAGAGTGGCGTGTCCTAAACATTGGACACGAGGTGCAAGCTACAAGCAACCTGCTGGCATCGTGAACATGCGGTGGAGGTACGTGTTCAGAAAGCAAACCTCGGAAAACAATCTTAAATTAAAGCCTAAAGCCCAAGCCTAAACCCTCAACCCTGATGACACACAGGAGCAAAAGCTAGCACTGCTGCGAGTCTATGCAAACCCTAAACCCTAAACCCTAAACCCAAACCTTGCTTGCAGTTCATACAGTAACCCTGTCTAGGTCCCTTAGCCTTAGCAGGGACTTATGTTCAGCCCCAAACCGTTTAGGGGGACTCTTGCCCCCTCATCCTGAAATCGGCCTGAAAGCCCTAACAAGTTCAGGGTTTAGGGTGTAGGGTTGAGGGTTTAAACCCTAAACCCTAAACCCTAACAACTTGCCAACACGAACAAACCCCAAATCCTGCAGCCTGAAGCCTAAGCCGCCGAAGGGGTGCCTAAACTGCTACCAGAGGTTGCTCTAAGCCCTATACACCAAACCCTAGAGCCTCAACTACAATAAACCCTAACTAGGCCAAAGCCAAAGCATCCCTGAACCCTCAACTCCAAACCCCCCTTCTCTTCACACCACAGCACGGAGCTGCACACAGCGAACCTCCTCGGGTTTGCACCTCAAGCTCGGATTTTCCGAGGGCATACGGTTCAGGGTTTAGGGTTTGGGGTGTAGGGTTTAGGGTTTAGGGGGTTTAGGTTTGTACGGTTTTCGTGAACACTCATGAAGGCTCAATTCTGCCGAAGCACTAAAGTCAACAAACGTCACGTGGGGTATGAGATCTAGGGCTCAGGGGTTGAGGGGGCTAGGACCCAAGCAGGCTCAGAGAAATAGAGGCTCACGACTTTTGGGGTTCTGAGTTGAGGCTGAAGGGGTTTAGGGTTTCGGGTTGAAGGCTTTGGAGGTTTCGGGGGCTTAGGGTTTGCATTCAGGGATCTAAGGGCTAAGGTCTTGCAAAGACCAGCGGTCGTTGCAGACGATTTGTGAAACTAAAGGCACAAACCGGAACTTCTGTGGGTTAGACTTCGAGGCATGCTTCGAAGCTGTGGGCAAACCTAGGTAACAGCAGCCCAACTTGTCAGGGTTGGGGTGTCACTTGCCTCCGACGGTCCAGGTGCGTAGTAAGCATATACAAAGCAATGACTATGACTAAGCAACACACCCACCTAGATACCTAGGGTGTACAAGCCTTTTGACCGTATGGAATCTGGAATCTACAATGCACCAATCACTACGCAACCCCGAGCCCCCCTGCACACTTGGTCCAAGCTGCACGCCGAGCCCTAAGCAACCCCCGAGCCTTCCCCCCTTGTAAACCCCTCAGCGAAGATAGACAGGGTTTAGGGTTTAGGGTTTAGGGTTCCCCTCAGAACCCTTTCAACTTTCGAAACCCTTTCCGAACAACCACAGACCTGCAGAACGCTTCTGAAACGGTGAAAGAACCGTTATAAGTCAAAGGTGCACGCCGATCACGCCGATCAGCGCCTGCCCCACGGAACATGCGGAGCAGGAAGACACCTGAGGAAAACAAAACAATTGAAACTCAATACTCAACACACTAACAAGTCCATCCATCCATCCATCCATACATACCTAAACTCATACATCCATACGCATACGCCTACGCCTACACGTACAAGTACACATACACGTACACACACACACACACACACACTGACATGGACACATACCGTTGCTTTCGTGTGCTTGTATGTGTGTGCTGCTTGGTTCCCCTAGTTTTGTTCAACGGTTCACAGGACTTTCTTCAAGGTTTGAACCATCTTCGAGGTTTAGGCGTAACGTTTTCAGGGCTGCAGCGCCTAGGATTTCGAAGGCTTTTGTCCGGGTGGGGTTTCGGCGTAAGGCCTGTAGGGTTTAAGCAACTTGGGTGCCAGGTTCAGGGCTAAAACAGGATTGCAATCGGGCATACAACGAAGCCCTACCTTTGGGGTCATGGACCCTTAATGATCGGGGGGCTTGGAGCTTGCTTCGTGCCAGACTCACCTAACGCAGGGGGCTTGAATAGTTTGAACCGTGTTTTTTGTGGTAGTGTACAGTGTAATACCCTAAGCCTAAACCCTAAACCCTAAACCCTAAACCGGTATAGGGGTCCACTACAGCCCCATTCAGGCTCCAAGATCCCCTAAACCCTAAACCCTCCTAGATTGAACCCCTGAGTCCCTGCAAAGTCAAGACCGGCGACCCAGGGAGTATTCGGATCTCCGTCCACCGCCTTCGACTCTTCGTAGCCGGCCTGCGCACCTGACAAGCCAGCTTCCTATCGGAGCTTTTTGGGATTTGGGGATTT